CGAAACAATCGGTCTTGCTAAATAACTGTACCAGTTGTTTCCTCGGAGCTATTTCGTGAGCAACATACTTAGTTGTATTCTTTATTTATTTTACAGCCGATTTCCATTCCTAAAGATCAAAAGCTGAATGGGATCGCCGTGCAATCTTGTATCCAAAGCGTGCATGCTATGAGCCGAAATGAAGTCAGTTGGTCTTTGTGTTTGCATTAACCACATGTATGTCTTCCGTGCAGTCCGAGCATAGAAAAACCTCGTTTGGATACAACTTGCTTGCCGGTGGTTTGGCTGGTTGTGTGGCCAAGACTGTGATCGCACCATTTGATCGGGCCAAAATCAATTTTCAATGTAAGTTTTCTGTCTTCCCCGCGTTCTACACAATGTGGGCAATAAATTGCGCTCTATCCTGTATCGATGGTTTGAATTCCGGTGTACGAAAAATTTAGTAAAGTTCATGTTCCTGATGGGCTCATTTGAGCTACTATAGTCGTTTATTTCACAAGTTAGTTCAGTTTGTACAACCATTTACCATGCACGTTCTTCCATCGGTTTTGGTTGCTGCTTTTTGGCTTCTCAGTTGGGTAAAGCATTAGGAGCACAGGAAAGATGAAATAGAGTCGAAGAGAAAATGGAGAATTTCCGCTAAGGTTGCAAATAAACTGAAAAGATGCAAGAGCGACACTGCCATATCACTCAGCGTCTTTAATCATCGTTTACGATCATCCCGAGGTCCCCAGCCAGGAAGTCTAACAGGACCTATATGACCGAGTCCCCTGGTTAGGGTTCTCATACCTTCATTCCAGGTACTAGTTTGACCACCCTTGTTTTTTTCCATCCACTAACTGCCTCAATAAACATCGCTCTCCGTGGCAACCTATTTGGTGACATGCGTATCACAAGCTCCAACCAACTAAATATATGACGATCGACCACTTCTTTGGGCAGCTGCGGTTACCTGAAACTCTGCTTATAACCTCAGCATTGCCCTTCCGGTTACCCCACCAGATTCATGCAATGCTGCGTAGACAGCGGTGTTAAAACATCAACAGTCTATCTTTATACTGTTTTCCTAATGGCCAAGTTTCTTTGCCGTACAGCAGAACCGGCCTAACTGCCGCGGCATACGTTCGACCCTTCACAGGCAACCGGATGTCGCGATGGCGCCACAAATGTTTCAAGGTGGCAAATGCCAACCAAGCCTTCTGTATGTGAGCTGACACTTCATTAGCGATGCGTCCACTGGGTGAGATGTAGCTGCCCAAATAACAAAACTTGTCCACTTGCTCTCTTACTTCCCCGGTCAGAGTGAAGTTGGGTGCTGGACCGACCCAGTTTTCTAGCAACATTTTACACTTTGAAGGTGCAAAACGCATGCCGAACATGACTACACTAACATTCAAACTATCCAGAAAAGCTTGCAATTTACCTGAATCTTCACTTAGTAGCACAGTGTGGTCTGCATGCTCCAGATCAGTCTACTACCTGGAAACTGATGGATACCGCTATCCTCTTACGAGGATAGGGCTGTTTAAAGAATTAGATCTTTGGCAAAGTAAATAGAAAAGGAGAGAGAGGGCAGCTCTAACGAACACAACTTTTTGTAGTGAACTCGGGCGAGAAGTGTCGTAAGTTCGGAAGAAAGGGTTTCGTGGCCTTCCAGCAGGGCAGTGGAGATCGACGAGATCCATCGTTTGTACTTTGNNNNACTTTGAGCCTGCGCCACTATCTACCGGAGTTTCTATCTATATCTGAATTACTTCATTAATTTGCCTAAATTTGCGTAAATCCTCGTGATATGACCGAAGTATCCATATAGCTACAGCTACAGACATGTCTCGTAGGGTCTTGGAGTTCTATTTTTGTTCACCATTGCATTGGTCATCAGTCCGCTGTTTGCTATTAGCCCTTAGTCTCATGCATCCGATTAGATAGGTGAAACCTAGACGGCTCAGCAGAAAATTGGTTGNTGGGACTCCCATGGTGGCAGCTATTTAATAAAATACGGAGACTTCTCCTACCGTTTGGAGGAACCCCCAGATATATCGCTCTTCGATCTATCTAGTGTTTTTTCGACCGGTGGGAACCACTTGAACGATCTCTCTTATTGCACTTCAAATTCATGCGTGTGCGCTCAGTTATAAAATCTGAGAAACAATAAAATGTTCCGATAGTGAGCAATTACAGTTAGTTTCGATTCATGACTTGGCGTTCTCATATACTAATGCATTTTGTTGACGCCGTGATTCACTTGTTCGGAAGCAAAAGTCGTGGTTTTAGTCTATCCTAGTTGGATGTCCACAACTCTCCACACCATCCCCGCTTACCTCATGCTGTTTGTCTCACCCCAATCCTCCCACACCAACCAATCTAGCCACAGAAAAACGATTTACCGTTCGAGCATTGTTTCGCTTTCTTCGTGCGTCGTATCAACAAAGTGGATTTATTAGCCTGTGGCGTGGTAACACGGCCACATTGACTCGGATATTCCCTTACGCGGCCATTCAGTACTCTGCACACGAACGCTACAAACATGCTTTTGGCATCGATCGCCCGGATCTGTCACATTTGTGAGTTCTGATCATTCCCACCCCCATATCCCGATTCGTGTACGAGCTGGGTTTTGAGTGGTACTGATTATTTTCCACTCGGTTAAGATGTCACACATTCACTCCGGCAATGCTGATTTTGATGAGACTGTTTTATCCCCAGTACGGTTCGGTTCGGTTTCAGTTTTTTACAGCCATCAACCATGCACATTCGTGCACCGGTTTTGGTTGCTGTCTTTTGGTGCCCCATTTGGATAAAAGAGCAGAATGAAGATTGGAATGTTGAGAGAAAAGTTGCGAGAATAACGAGTAAATGAATGAACGCCACGGTTTGCGAAACCCAACCATATCGCTCAGTGTCTCTAACCATCGGTGACCATCATCTCGGGGTCCCCAGCCGGGGAGCCTAATAGGGCCTATGTAACCCAGTCTCCTGGTTAGGGTTTTCATACCCTCATGCCAGGTCTTAGTTTGACCACTAACCGAGCCTTCTGTATGCGTACCGACACTTCGTCTGTGGTGCATCCGCCAGGTGAAATATAGCTACCTAGATAGCAAAATCTGTCTTCTTTCTCTACTATTTCCCCAGTCAGGGTGAGATTGGGGGTTGAACCAACCCAATCTTGTAGCAATATTTTAGACTTTGAAGGTGCAAAACGCATACCGAACATGGCAACACTAGCACTCAAACTACCCAGAAAAGCTTGCAACTTACCTGAATCTTCATTTAGTAGCACAATGTCGTCTGTATACTCTAGATCAGACAGTCTGCCACCCGGAAGTAAATCGTACTCTAGATCAGACAGTCTGCCACCCGGAAGTAAATCGATACCGCTATCCCTGCACGAGCATAGGGCTGTTTCAATAATTAAATCTATGACAAAGTTAAATAAAAACGGAGAAAGGGAGGGCAACCCTGATGAGCACCCTTTTCTATAGTGAACTCGGGTGAAAAAGTGCTGTTAGCTCGTACTCGACTTCGGCTATTAGTAGAAACGGATTGTAATGTTGAAATAAACTTCTTCGTCGCATCCTTTAGAGTGAGGCAGCGCCAGAGTTTAGAGTGGTCGAATGAGTCGAAAGCTACTTTCAGATCTAGGAAGACGGAGATTGTGGGTCAACGAAAGGAGTGTCTGTTTTCTAGAATTTGAGGAAGAGTGGAGGTGCAGTCGATACAACCTCGACCAGGTCTAAAACCAGCCTGGTTCTCATGCGTGCACTCTTCACGTGCGGCTGGCAACCGACGGAGTATAATATCGGCGAGAAGTTTAGAGATGATGTTGATTAAACTAATTCCTCTGTGGTTTTCACAAGAGGATCTGCCATCTTTCTTGCAAATCGGTATGATTGCCTATTTAAACCATTCCGTTGGAACCTGTTCCCTATCCCACACAGCCCAGGCGTTTTGCTAACTCCAAAACCAAGGCAGAACCTCCATCCTTAAAAACCGATCGGAATAGCCCGTCGGGGCCGGTAGCCTTATGCATCTTGAGATAAGTTATTTCTCGGAAAAATTACATTTCAAATAGAGGACTGATGTCAACTGACAGCATTTGAGCAGTTGAGCGGGTAGGAAGGGACCTTGTGTCGACGGGGACCAACTGAGCTCTACCTTAAAATGTTCTGTCCAACGTTGAAAACGGCGTTGCTGAATATGAATCACTGTGCCGTTAGACTCTTCAATTACCTGACACCTACTTTCATTGGAACTCTACTCCTAATTCACCGAAAAATTGCGACTATTATCGATAGCCGTCTCCATCTCTCTACACTTCTCTATCCAGCGATTCTCGCGGCCATTTCTCAAACTCTTGATGAGCCGGCGTTAAATGGATTTGCGCGCTTTGTCTTATTTTTGATCCGAAGGGCTGGTTTTGTGAGTGTCCAGCGAGGCAGCCGAGGTTGCGGAGATCCATCGTTTTTTATTTGATCATGCGCCCGAATTTACCGTTGTTTTTATTGACATATTGATCGCTTCTTTGATTGCCGTCCAGTGTTCACCGATTCTTCTGGCTGATAGTTGAGCTAAAAAGCGATCAAGTAGTTCCGCTTCGAAGACCGATTTGCAACCATTGCTGACACTGCATTGTGGGCATCCGCTTTTCGGTGGCTTTTCAGCAGTTATTTACTAGGCGTAGAGAGAATCTCGCTCGTAGCACANTAGCACAGCATGATCCGTGTTCACGGGTGTTAACAAGTAGGAGCGTCAGTCTTCCATTGGTCCTCACCATCGGTGGCTAATGGTGATGTAGTGGATTTGAGTCCAGCGCTGTGAAGAGATTGGCGGTCTCCATGTATGGCGGTGTCGTTTCTTGTGCAAGAAGTTCGTGCTTGATAGAAACGGTCCGTGGTCAGTGCAGAGTTGCAGTAGGCGTTCTCCTTTGTCAGTCCTGTTAGCTAGGATTGCATGTGAACCACCAAGTAGCCTTTCTNACCACGATGTCCATTGGCCGAACACTTTAGAGCTGTTGAGAGAGATCTCTTTAGAAGTCATCCTTCATTTCTGGCGAACTGCAACTAGTCAGTGCATACACCGATACGACGAACAAACCGACGCTTCGTTCTGTAGCTGTTGATTCGTACTGAACCATTCAGACGTACAGCGCAAAGTTGGCTTCTAACCGGGCTCCAGTCGAGGAGTGAACGCTCGGTCTCGAAACTCAGGAGGATGAGGTTGGATCTGGAGATCGAAAGGTGATGGTTGAAGTAGGGTCTTGTACGTGTGCTTCGGAGACACAGCATACATCTAAATGGAAGGTTTCAAGGGTTCTAGCTAAGACAGCTTGTTGATCGATCTGATAGAGTGCACGGACATTTAACGCGGTTAAGTGAAAATGAGATTTTGGTTGTATAAGCCTGATAGCCTCCGAGTGGTTGACCTCATTAGTTATATGCTGACTGACATCCCATCAACGACACAAACATGATGCATCTCCCGAGGTTTGAGAGTGAGAAGTCAAGTCAAGTATTTGCTTCATCCACCCCGAAAGGTGGATATTCAATAGTCACAGCCGTCGTACGAGCAAATATACAATTATAGCGGCACCGGGTGAAAGAGGAGAATGCACACCTAATAAGATATTGATGTAATGGATGTGAAGGGTTATCTATGATCTTTCTTGATAACGAGAAGCATGACTTTGTATGTTTGGAAATGATAAAGTGACAGATAGTTTTACGGGAAATCCTACTACTTGATAAATGTGCTAATGATCTGGAAAGCAATTTAAAGTCCTTTTTGAGCATCCCTGGAAAGATTACTGGGGACCCGTACAACCATAGAGGTAAATCATAGGCAAAAAGAAAACGATTAATCAAGAAGCGAGGGACGGATAGTGTTTTCAGTCGTAAGACATAAAATGATAGTTTTCTGACCTTTACAAATACAGAAACAACTTGGTCAAACCAGCATACGTTTCGGTTAATTGACACACCAAGATACTTGACATTTGGGGGTTGGACAATAGTATCATCGTAAATGTTTAAAGTGGGACAGGATTCCAGGAGATCGGCATAACGATTCCCTCTGTGAAATGAGAACAGCATGTCTACATATTTAGGGGGATTGAGAGTTAAGTTATGCTCAGCAGACCACTCAGCAAGGTTAGTAAGACCAAGTTGGAGGGTGGTGGTGACAAATGCTTCAGGGTGGGCGATTCCGACCACAACATCGTCCGCATATTTAATGAGCTGGGAATTTTGTAAAGTAGGCATGGATGAAATGTAAGTGGAAAAGAAAAACGGGGATAGAATGTAATAATACGCCTAATGTAGAAATTAGGGAAGAGAAGGAACGGCCAAAGTAACATGTGAAGTGTGATCGATTTATGAAATAGTTAGTGAGTACTGCAGTAATGGTTTGCCATATTCCGTTGGAAGACAAAATATTTAACAGCATAAACCTGTCAACACAATTGGAGGTGTCAATGTTATCCAAGAAATAAATTCTGAGAGCTTTCTTGTTTCCATCAAGTGCTGACAGAATGTAGTGAACCAGAGAAGCTAGGACATCTAGGGTGGAGCTTGAGCGACGATACGCAAATTGGTTTTGGTCCTGCACATTCAGCTGAGATGACATTCCTTGGAGGAGTAACTTTTCGAAAAACTTCAACACAACAGACGTACATGCAATGGAACGGAATTTTGAGATGCCTCTTTTAAGCACTGGAGTGATTGAGGTAACTGTCCAACAATCCGGTATAATTCCGTTTTTTAAGCACTGGTTAAACAGAGCTGTGAGAAGAGAATGGACGGTTTTCCAAAAGGGTACCTAAGATTTTGGGCTACAGCATACTTCGCGATAGTCCACACCGACGAACGGGTTTTTCTTTGGAAACCCTCACCGGAGCCTTCGACTTAAAAGTCTGACCTACAAGGTTGTGGGACGTAGATCCAACGCGGCAGCGTGAACGAAGCACCCGTGTCACACCAGGCCTTCGAATTTCGGTTCAGTGTGTTGTTTGCTGATGCGTTGGTTAACGGTCCGTTGGTTGGATGAGTCCTAAGCCTCATGCACCGAATGAGGCAAGCGGAACGTGGACGAGACAGCACTTTATTGGCTGAGGCTGCCCTGCTTGGACGGGCGATGGCTGACCAGTGAAGTGTGAAGACTTCTCCCACCATCAGGGGAAAGCCCCAAGTACCCCGCTCCTACGTCCATCTAGCGGAGGTTTTTTTGATCGGTAAGCTGTCCCTCGTGTTTATTTATTGGAGTGACCTCTCCGGGGGCGGGAGTGGATAGAAGGAGGAAGACAGGAGGTGCCCAAGCTGCTGGCCTTGTGAGACTGATCTTCGTCTGGCCTCTACCCGTTGACCTTTCAGGCATATCTGTGTCTGCGGTTGTAAGGAGCCATCCTGTATAGTTCGCAGGGTCATGGGGGCACGCAAGCCATCACACCACGTCGGGTTGCAGTGTAGTTCACATTGATTGGATTTCGGAATTCAAATTCCGTCGGTCCAGATCGGTTACACAATTTGGTGCATGTTTAAATGTTATTTTCTTTCCCGGCAACATTTGGTGTGGCT